TCCCTTTCTCCAGGAGGAAACGATCGAAATCGGTTTTTCCGATTCGTTTTTTTTTTTGGCTTATTTTACGATTAAAAAAAAAAAAATTTTTTTAACGATGGTGTCGTGGCTTTAGAAAGGGTTGAAAACAAAAAACATTATCGTATTTTTTTTTTTTTGGCATCAATTTTTATTTTATTTTATTTTTTTTTTACGCTTTCATCCCCCCCACGAGAAAAAAAAATTTTTTTTTTTTAAATATCATTCAATGAAGTGAAAAGATTGTGAAAATTTTTGCGGTATAAAATATTATCAGCTGTTGTCTAAAATATATAAAAAATAAAAATGGCGGATTTAAGGCTTTAAGGGGAGGAGTGGGAAAAGAGGAAGGGGGAAAATGGAAAAAGGAGTGTAAAAAAAAAAAAAATATTTGAAAACTTTTTCCGGTTTTTTTTCTCCCTCTTTTATAAATTTAATTATCGGCCTCGTTACAAAGATTTCAACTATTCGGGGGGGAGGGGGTTAGGGGATGTTTTGAGGGTACGAATTTCGGGATTGGACTTCTCACTATGACCAGACATTCGTTAGGGGTTAAACCTTAGGGGATCCTTCTGAATTCTACAAAGGCACTTAGGTTAACTGATGAGAGGGGAAGTTCGACCGAAAAGGGTTCTGATCCTGGGGATCGTATTTCGATCCCGTTCAGTATGGTCAAGGTATCTTCAAAAGGAAAAAAGGAGATCCAGCACCCATATGAAGCATTGGAGAAGTTCTAAGAACTTGACACTGGAAAGATTTGAGACTTTATTACAAGTTAAACTCCCTCGAGTCCCCGTCTTTCTCCTCCCCTTCCCTCCCCTTTCTTTTAACGAATCATTTCGAAAGTAAACGTTTCTAAATTCGAAAAAAGAAAAACAACACGTAACGGAAATTTTCATTTAACCGAAAGAATTTTCTAGAAAAAAAAAAAAAAAAAAATTAATCAATAAATCCGAAACGAAACGAAATAAATTAAATTATTATTATTATTATTATTATTTTCCTTCGTACAAAAAAAAAAAAGTTTACAATTGAAAAAAATAAATAAATTTTCACCGAATAATATATATATATATATATTTATTACATTTAACAAAAGCAGCAGCAGAGCAACAGCAACAACAACAACAGAAAGAAAAGTACAAAAAAAAAAAGAATTATAATGCTCCGTTGTAAAAAAAAAAAAAATTGTCATGGAAAAATGGAGGAGGAAAATTTTTTTTGGATAACACTTTTTTGGAATTATATTTATATATATTTTTGTCGTCTTTGGCAAATGTCGCCACGTCTCCAAACTGTCGCCTATTTTACAAAAAAAAAAAAAATCATCGTATTTTATTTTTTTTTTAACTTTAAATTTTTCTTCTGCTTTTTAATTTCTTTTACCTTTTTCCACTTACTGAAACCCCCTCCCCCCCCAAAAAAAAAGACACTTTTTTGTACTTTCTTAATGACGTCACAATAAAATTTTCTAATTAAAAATCTGGCTCGTACCACCTTTTTTATTGTACTTTGCCAAATAATTATTAATTAACAACCGTTATTTAAGTAATAAATATATATATATATATAAAGAAGATTGTCGAGTTGATGAAAAAATTCCTTTGATTGTTGTTTGATTGATTGTTTGTTCGATTGTTTGATTGTTTTCCAAATCACCGTAAAAAACTTTTTTTCTTTTCTTTAATTTTACGCGCGCGAAAGTAAGAAAAAAGAAAATTTAAGCGGATTTCATCAATCGATCGATCGATTATATTTCAAATTTTAATAATTATTATTAGTAATATCGATCGATGGATAATTGAAATTAATAATAATAATAATAATAATAATAATAATAATAATAATAATAATAATAATAATAATAATTTAAAAAAAAAAAAAAAAGAAAAGTCTCACCTGAACGATTCGATTGTTAAAAAAAAAAATTCAAAAACATGTAGAATAAGTAAAGAATCAATTACCGATCAATCACATTCACACATATAAATAATAATAATAATGATAATAATAATAATAAATAAAACAAACGAAACAAACGATAAAATTAACAAAAAACAGATTTTTTTTTTTGTTCGAAACTCGGATTCACAATAAAAAAACAAACAAACAAATGAAAAAAAATTTTTTTTTTTTTTTTATTTAAATTTTATTATTGTTGTTGTTGTTGTTGTTATCTACGAATAAAAAATAAATAAATAAATAAATTGTTGGGCCCCCCCCTTTTTTTTTTTCTTTTTGAAAAATTTGTTTGTGGGGAGAAAGAAAAACCACATAAGTAGAAAAATATGGACGGCCGCGTTCATTGAAAAAACAATTTTCTTAAAAAAAAAAAAAAATTGTATGTATGAATTTAAACGTTTGGGATAAAGAAATAAAAACAAACAAACAAACAAACATGGCGATGATGACGATGATGATGATGATGATGATAATAATAAAAAATGTGAATTTCGTGGAAAACCAATAATTTTTACTTTGAGCGTCTTTAGAATTAAAAACCGTTAAAAAAGAAACAACATTAAAACAACAAATAAATGTCGTTGTTGTTACACATGGAAATGGGACATTTCAAAACATAACCAAACGTATATTCATCATCATCATCATTATCATCATCATCATTATTATTATCATCATCATCATAATTCTCCGTACGTACTAAAACATCAATAAAAATTTTGTTATTTTTTTTTTTTTAAAGATTTATTTCGTACGAATATATAAATTTTTTTTTCGTTGTTGTTTCTATTGATATAAAATCTACGTGTATTTTATTTTTTGTTTGTTCGTTAGTTCGTTCCTTCGTTTGTTTGTTTGTTTGTTTACGTTTTTTTTTTTTTTTCTCGTTAAAACAATAAATTAAACGATCGAAACAAAGGTAAAGAAAGAAAGAAAAAATTAAAAGATACGTGAAGGTTATTGTTAAAAACATTTTTTTTTTTCACTTTGGGTGTCTTCGTTTGTACGATTGTTACGCGTAAAAATTATTATTATTATTATTACAGTAACAACGTCGAAAAATAATAATAATAATAATTTAAAAATAAAAAATAAAATAAAATAAAGAGAAAATTTTTTTTTTATTTTAACCTAGTTTAGACTTTTTGGTTTTGTTTTTGTTTTGTTTTCCGTTTGTTTGTTTGTTTGTTTGTTTTTTTAAAAGTAATATTGGAAAAATGGAAATTTGATTAAAACAAACAAAAACGTCAAAAAATAAAATAAATAAAATAAAAAGAAGAAAAAAAAATCAAGTTTAAAAAACAAAACAATTTTTTTTGTTTTTTCTTACTGGAAAGAGTTATAATCAGTTTAAAAGACAAAAAAAAATTTTTTTTTGTTTTTGCAGGGGGCGGTAGGGGGAGGGTAAGAGAGTAGGGGGAAAAGTAAAGCAAAAGTTAAAAATTATTTCGGTCAAAGTTTTTTGCTTACATATATATATATATATAAAATTTATCGTGCATAAACTCATGAGAAAAAACAAAATCGTACCAAAACAACAACAACAACAACTAAGTTTTTTTCTTTTTTTTTCGAATAAATTTATAAATTGACAGAATCAACTAAAACTTCCTCCAGAAAAAAAAAACTAAGAGTTCCTCCTCCTCCTACTCCTACTCCTCTGACTCCTCCTCCTTTCCTCCCCCTTCCCTTCCCCCCCCAAAAAAAAAAATAATTTTTTTAAAAAACGATGAACGAACGACGTGTTTGCGTTTGTTTTGTAACCCAAAGCCAAAAAAAAATGTTGCAAATTTAATTAACCAACATCATCATAGTGTACGAAACAAACTCAAATATTATCAAATTGTATTTCGACAACAAAAACAACAACAACAACAAACAAAACTCAAAAACAAAATTCACTGACCTGCCTTCACCTCCTGATTAATTAAACAAAAATTTTTAAATTCCGCGCAATAACCGAACGCACGACAAAAAAACAAAAAATTTTCCTTTTTTTTTTACAACCGAAAACGAACCTTTTTCATCGTAATTTTTTTAAAAATAATAATAATAATAACAATAATAATAATAATAATAATGATAATAATGATGATAACAATAACGATAATAATAAAACTTTTTAAAACAAATATAAATTTTTACGATTAAAACATTTCTTTTTTCTCTTATTTATTCCTAAAAGAAGTAGACAAAAAACCCGAGAGAAAGAGACAGAAAAAGAGAAAGATAGATAGAGAGAGAGAGAGAGATATATGGAAACGAATCAATGATAATATTTTGTAATTATTTTTATGAGTTTTAAAAAAAAAGGAAAAAAAAGTTTATGAATCCACAAAAAAAATAAACATTAAACATTCATCTGCGATTTGTCTTTTTTTTTCTTTTTTACATTATTTATTCGATCGTACCAAAGTTTTATAACCGAAATTTTTTTTTTTTTTTTTTTTCAAGTTAACAAAATAAAATTTGACCGATTTAAAAAAGAAAAAATCTCTCTCTCTCTCTCTCACTCTCTCTCGAAACCATTAAATAAATAAATAAATAAAAACGAATTCACATAATGTAATCATCACAATGCAAAAAAAATAAATAAATAAATAAAAACTTTAATAAAATATTTATAATATATATATTAATATTACATATTCGGGCAATGTTACGGTATGTATACATACTTATTCACTTAAAAGTACTGTAGTAATAATAATAATAATAATATCGATACAGAAAAAAAATGCGTCAAGTCGATTATTTTTACCTAAATAATTTAAAAAAAATTTTTTTTTTTTTTTCATATAAAATCCTTCCCTATCACTCGAATTAAAAATGATTAAATGAATAAAGAGGGGGGGAGGAGACATGTGCGCGTTCACACCCTATCTGCGGTGCTTCGTGAAAATACACGAATTTATGTAAAAATTGATTTCGAAATCCGTTTCCGACGTTTATAACTTTGAGACATTTTTTTTTTTTTTTTCCCCTCATGATGATGATGACCGACCCATCGGAAAACCTTTTCATGCGACCGGATTCATCTTCATGAGTTCTAAATCAGCATCGATCATGTCTTTGACAAGTTCCTGAAACGTAAGAAAAGAAAAAAAAAAAGAAAAACAAACGTTTAAATCTCGTACGTTCTCTCTCTCGCCCCCCATCCCTTCCCCCTAACAAAAAAACATTTCGAAATATCATTATTATTACGATCGAAAAGAAAATATAAGAGGTGATATTTAACAATAATAATAATAATAATAATAATAATAATAAAAATTGACAGAAAAATGAAAAAGATTACACAGGCTGTTAGGCTTCATAATAATTAATAAACCGAATTCGTTTTGTTTACACAGGACTTAAAAATGTTTGTTGTAATAATTTCAAAATTACTTTACTATTTGTCAAATAAACAATGTGATGAATGGGTGCGGATGAAAAATAAAAAAAAAAAAAAAAATCTCTACAACAAAGTACAAAGTCCTTGGACGGACACACACAACACTCACACCGATAATACAACAGGTATCCATACAGGACCCGTGTGTGTGTACCCGATGGTTGGACCATCCACTCGTCCACGAGTCGTCGTCGTCGAAAATTTCTCCAAATAAATAATAATTAAAATAAATTAAATAATTAAATTAGTAATAATAATAACGACAACGAGAAGGACTCGTTAAAAAAGGTTAACCGAAAAAAAAGGAGGGAGGTGAAGAAGGGGGAGGGAGGTTGAAAATTTTTATTGTTCGGCGTTTATTTTCAACGATATAAACGAGGGTGTTAAATTAAAAAAAAACAACAACAACAACCGCTTGAAATCGGTAAAAAAAAAAAAAAAAAAAAAAGTTTTCGTTATTCGATTCCGGTAATTTGGGAAAATTGTTTGTGTGAGTCCCCCCTTACCCCCACTTTCCCTCCCACTCCCCATTTAAAACAATCGCTTGAAAAGAAAAAGAAAAGTTAAATTTAAATTTACGCAAGAGCGGTCAGAATTCCATGATAAAATCATAAAAAAAAAAAATGGAAAAAAAATTTAAAAATACAGGGAAAAGCTTTTTAAATCCGACGACCATCTTTCTATCTATCTCTTCCTTCCCCCCCCCTCTCTCTCTCTCTCTCTCACCCTACCCCTTCCCCTCCCTCATCATCCTCTCATCCGTTTTTCTCTTTTTTTTTTTTCTCCAAACGTTTCATTAAACTTAAACGAACCGAACGGATGGAAAAAAAAGAAAAACGTACAAAACAAATTCAATAGTAAAAAATTATCATCATCATCATCGTCATCGTCAGCGTCGTCGTCGTCGTCGTAGTTTTTTTTTGGGGGGCCTTTTCAACATTTTAACGTCGCGGGACGGGACATTCGAAAATAAGGAAAACATTGCTAAAATCGTGTGTACCAAACCTATTTAAAGGCGAAACTCTTGTTGATAATAAATAAACAAACAAAAAAAGAAAACAAACAAATAAATAAACAAACAAACAAACAAACAAACAAATAGAGAAAGAAAGGAAAAAAAAAATACCTGGATGGCAGGCCGGGTTATTTTTAAACAGTCTAAATATGTTTTTTTTTTTTTTTTCATTCTATTGTACAAATTTTTCAACATTTTACGAAACTTTTTTTTTTATTCTTTTTTATTCTTTTCCTTTCCTTCTCCTTGTTCATCTCCTTCCTCCTCCTCCTCTTTTACAAACACACACACACAAACTATGTTGGGGGGATTTTGTTTTTGTAATAAGTGAAAGATGAGTGGAAGATAGTGTTCGTTTTGTGTCCTGTCATTCTTTTGTGGTTTCTTCTCAGAATAAGAGAGAGGTATTTCGTTTACTTTTCTAATTCTGACTCTAGTTTTGACTTTTTAAGTCGAAATGATGACGTTACCATTTTTCTATCTCTCTATCTCTCTCTCTCTCTTTTTTTTATTTTTTTTCTTATTTTCAATTTTGCCGCATTTAATTTTTTTTTATTATTTATTTATTAATATAATTTTTTAAACTTTTAAACATTTCCCTCTCCCTTTTTAAGAAAAAAAAAAAAATTGTTTATGCATATTGCGTGTGCGTGTGTGTGTGAGTTTACAACTACAATTTTAAAATTCATTCAAAAAATCAAAACATCATCATGATTATTTAATGAAACATAAGATGTTTAAATTTTGAATTTATCGTGAAACGATCAAAATCGATCGCGATACAATCGATCGCAATACAATCGATAATCAAATCGAAATGATAAAATGGTCCTTCCGTTAAAGGAATTATCGTTCTCGAAAATTATATTTCTAAAAAGGTGAGAGAGAGAGAGAGGGGGGGGGAAGAGGGGGCGAGAAAGCGTTTTCGAAAAAAAAAATTTCCAAAAAGATAAAGTTTAATTGACTTACCAAAAACGTCACTTTCGGTTTCCATCCGAGTTCATTTTTTGCTTTCGTCGGATCACCCAATAAAAAATCAACTTCTGTCGGTCGAAAATATTTCGGATTTATTTTTACTCTCACTATACCAGTGGCAGCATCTTTTCCGACTTCGGATACTCCTTTACCCTCCCAAATTATTTTAATGCCGACGTAACGGAATGATGCTTCGACAAATTCTCTCACGGAATGTGATTCTCCGGTCGCTATAACGTAATCCGAAGGTTTATCCTGTTGCAACATTAACCACATTGCTTCGACGTAGTCTTTGGCATGTCCCCAATCCCTTTTCGAATCTAAATTTCCTAATTCTAATACGTCCAACTGTCCTAAAACGATTTTGGCAACTGATCTTGTTATTTTACGTGTGACAAAATTTTCACCTCGTCTAGGACTTTCGTGATTAAATAGAATTCCATTGCAAGCGAATAATTTGTATGCTTCCCTATAGTTAATAACTATCCAGTATCCATAGAGTTTGGCACAAGCTAAAAAAGAAAAAAAAAAAAATTTTAAATTAATAATAGTTTTAAAAGGAACAATTTCATTTATATCTCTTAATGTATACATTTATAGGTTAGAAAAATATTATTCGATAATTTTTAACATACCATACGGTGACCGAGGATAAAATGGAGTTGTTTCTTTTTGAGGTATTTCTTGGACTTTACCATAAAGTTCAGAAGTTGAAGCTTGATAAAACCTAACTGTTTTTTCTAATCTGCATGTTCTTATAGCATCTAAAAGTCTTAATGTTCCGAGTGCATCTACTTCAGCAGTATATTCGCTTAAATCAAATGATACCTGAAAGATTTACACCTATAATAAATAATCAAAAGAGTGAAAATGTGACTCCTATTACATGAAAATTAATTTTAAAAATAATAAAAAATTATGTACATATAGAAATAAACAATAAAACTACAAATCTTGCATGTCTATAATGCATAAAAAGTATCAAGTTGAAAAATAGGAAACGAAAAACCGTAATTTATTATCAGCCATTTTTCTTTTTGTAATTTTGATTTGTACAAATTGTATTTCATTTCAATTTAAAACTTGGCTTTGATTTACTGATTAGATACATGAGGTCTTGATATATTTATCAAATATTGATTTTAGGCTACTACATTAATTGACCTTCTAAACGATTTTTATAAAAAGTTCAAATTCTAAATAAGGAGGAGACGAAGAAAAAATTGATTTAAGGAATTTATTTAATTCTTTTAATTTTACCTTTACGTGGCTTTGGGCAGCTAAATTGTAAATTTCATCCGGTTGAATTTCACTAATAATTTTAATCAAGCAACTTGTATCTGTCATATCACCATAATGCAATTTCATTTTTCCATGCTTATGAGTTTTTGGATTTGCGTATAAATGCTGAATTCTTGAGGTATTAAACGTACTGGCACGTCGTATAACACCGTGAACATCGTAATTTTTTGATATCAATAATTCGGCTAAGTAGGAACCATCCTATTTTTTGAAAGTTATCAACAGTAAAATCAAAAAAATCTTTTGAACTTAATTTAATTAATAGAAAAGGTAAACATCATTATGGTAATTCAACTTACTTGTCCCGATATACCGGTTATTAAAGCTACTTTGCTTTTTTCACCCTCCTTCGAAAAGACCTGATTGAACTCTGTCATTTTTATTTAACTAAAATATATAAAAAATTAAAAAATTTATAAATTTACTGTTTCTGTCAAGTAAGAAATGAAAAAAATTAATAAATTACTACAAGCGTAAATAACTAGATAACTTACGCCTAAAGTAGCAGAAGCCATAATATTATAATTAATAAGAAAACGTTTCTTCCTCCACGACATTTGATAGATTTCTAGTTTTTTAGAAATAAATGCCGCTACTCAACAGAAAATCACATCATTTTCTATTCAGAATAAATAAAATTCATTTCTACAATTTTTTTTTCCCTAATGATATCCAATATTCCCTTTAAAAAGATTTAAATTTATCAATCCGAAAATTTCTCTAATGGCACGCTTTCAGTTTAAGCGAGCACTTTTATATGTAAACTCCATGGATAGTTGAAGAAATAGTTATGCTCAAATATTGAAAAGTTAATTTTCACGAAATGTTAAAATTTGATTATTATTTTTACGTATTAATAAGTAGTAATTATTAAACAAAATGGCACATCAACTTCTAAATACCGCCAAAAAAATGGAGCTTATTCTTCGGAGCGGATTAAGAAGCGGAATTGACAAATACACAGTTAGTTTTTTAATTTATCTTAACAATAATCCATACAATAATAATAAAAAAATATCTCTACGCATTTATGCGTTTAGTTAGCATGTAAAAAAATCCTTAACTAAAAAGAGAAAAATAAATAATAAAATAGCCTTAAAATATATATGTACATACATTGCTTCATATTTTTCCTTATTACATCATAATTGTAGTATCCTACAGAAATATTTGAAATTAATTTTTCAGTTAAGAAGTTTATCCCAACTAAAAAATGGAATGACTGCTCCTACACTACAGTTGATACTTGATCAATGGAAACTTTTTTGTAAAAATCCACCCAAGGGTTTTGAAAAGTATTTTGAAGCTGGGAAAAAAGTTTTAAAGCAAAGTTCCGAAGGAGCAGCTGCACCTAAAAAAGATGCTCCATCTTCTTCTACTTCGAGTCAATCAAAGTCTTCAAGTGGCTCAGAATCTAATACTTCGCCACAGACGCCTCCCTTATCAGGACCTAAATTGTATGATGGCTCTTTCTTCTCAAGATTTATGGGTGGGGGGTCAACTGGAAAGAGGTAACTTGCAATTGCAGGTCTCAAAATTTCCAGAATATATATTGGCCCCTCAATCTATTTTACAAAGAAAAAAACGAGTCAAAATGATTCATTTTTTTCTTTTATTAATTATTTATAAGATATTTAATTTATTTAAAAAATTGATTTTTTATTTATTAGAATAATTTTAATAATTTATTAATTAAAATTTATGATGTAATTAATGCTTATGAAATGAAATATTGCTTTTTATTAATTTTTTTTCATTTGTTTGTTTTTATAGCGGTTCTTCTGGAGGAGGCTCGGGTATGCCACCTGAAATGGACCCAGAAAAAATATTTTATGGAGCTGCTGCAGCTACTTTATTAGTGTTGGGTTATTGGTTTTTTAAATCATCATATTATGGAGTTGAAATTACTTTTAAAGAATTTGTTAACAAGTAAGCTAAAATTGATATTTTAAAAGTTTTTTTTGTCTTTGCAAATATCATAAAATTTTAAAATTTTTTTATCCTGTTTTTTAGTTATTTAGCAAAAAATTTAGTCGAGAAAGTCGAAGTTTATAATAAAAAATGGGTTTGTGTGGTTTTAAAGAAAGATAGTGGACTTTTAGAAAAGGTAAATTTAAATTATTATTTATTATTTTAATTTATTTATTTATATTCATTTCATAAATTTTTTTTGAATTTTATTTAGAGTGCATGGTTTTATATTGGAAGTGTCGATAGTTTCGAAAGGAATTTAGAAGCAACACAACAAAGTTTAGAAATACCAGCAGCTGATTACATACCTGTCTTATACAAAACCAGCCTTGAATTTTCTTATGTTATGAATGCATTGCCGAGTATTTTGGTTCTGCTTTTAGTATTTTTCACATTAAAACGTTCGGCAGATATGCTTGGCAGAAGAGGACGTAAGAAGGGACTTTTTGGTTCCATGATGGAATCGACTGCAAAATTAATTAATTCTAACGAAATCGGTGTTCGCTTTAGGTAAATATTTACTAAATATTTTTTTATAAAAAATTATGGCAACCTAATAATACCTCCTGATGTGTGATTTTTTTTCAGCGATGTAGCCGGTTGCGAAGAAGCCAAAGTTGAAATAATGGAATTTGTTAACTTTTTAAAAAATCCTCAACAGTATATCGAACTGGGAGCTAAAATACCAAAAGGCGCCATATTAACAGGACCACCCGGTACGGGTAAAACCCTTTTGGCAAAAGCAACTGCTGGAGAAGCCAATGTTCCCTTTATAACGGTGTCCGGATCGGAATTTTTGGAAATGTTTGTCGGTGTCGGACCCTCAAGAGTACGTGACATGTTTGCCATGGCGAGAAAACACGCTCCCTGCATACTTTTTATCGATGAAATAGATGCCGTCGGACGTAAAAGGGGAGCACGTAATTTTGGCGGTCATTCTGAACAAGAAAACACGCTTAATCAGTTACTAGTAGAAATGGACGGTAAATTAAATTCGTTACTCTTAATAAAATGATTGGAAAAGTGTTTTTTTTTTTTTTCCCCTAAATGATTTTTTCCACTTTTCTAGGATTCAACACGACTACAAACGTTGTAGTTTTAGCTGCAACAAACAGAGTAGATATATTAGATCGTGCACTTTTAAGGCCCGGTAGGTTCGATCGTCAAATATTTGTACCTGCGCCAGATATCAAGGGAAGAGCATCAATATTTAAAGTACATTTGCAAGTTTTAAAAACGAATTTAGATAAGTCTGATTTAGCCAGGAAAATGGCAGCTCTCACTCCCGGATTTACAGGTATGACGCCTGAAAAAAAAAAAAAAAAAAAAAAAATTATTAAAGTATTGTTAAAATTTTTTTCAAAGATTACTTACTGTTAATTTTGTGTGTCGGGCGTTTTTCAGGTGCTGACATTGCAAACGTTTGCAACGAGGCTGCTTTAATTGCTGCCAGAGATCTTCACGATTCTATAAACATGAAGCATTTCGAACAAGCAATCGAAAGGGTCGTTGCCGGAATGGAAAAGAAGACCAAAGTACTTCAACCAGAAGAAAAAACAACTGTTGCGTACCACGAAGCTGGTCACGCGGTTGCCGGATGGTTTTTGCAAAATGCAGATCCTTTATTAAAAGTAAATGATATTTTTTTGGTCAACTCTCGTAAAGGGATTTTTTATTTTAGGTTCGATAATGCGAAATGTTTTTCTTTTTCAGGTTTCGATTATTCCCAGAGGAAAAGGATTAGGTTATGCACAGTATTTGCCCAAAGAGCAGTATCTTTACACCAAGGAACAAATATTCGATAGGATTTGCATGGCGTTGGGCGGTAGAGTCGCCGAAGAGATTTTCTTTAATAGAATAACAACAGGAGCTCAAGACGATCTTAGAAAAATAACACAAATGGCTTATTCACAGGTTCGTTTTAGCAGAAAAAGAAAAAAAAAATTTCCTCTCGTTTTTTATTACCTTTTTTTGTTTGTTTTTCTTCAAGGTCGTTCAATACGGAATGAACGAAAAAGTCGGTTACGTAAGTTTCGACGTCCCCCAACCGGGAGAGTTGGTCATGGACAAACCATATTCGGAAAACACGGCCCAGTTAATAGACGTAGAAGTAAGAAATTTAATTTTATCCGCTCACAAGCGTACGACGGATCTGTTGAACGAACACAAGGGAGACGTTGAAAAAGTGAGAAGAAAATTTTCATTTTAAAAATGGCGTCGGATCATGATAAATTTAAATAATAAAAAAAAAAAAAAAAATTTTTTTTTTGTTGTTCTACAGGTCGCCGAAAGGCTGTTAAAGCAAGAAGTCATAAGTCGATCCGACATAATCGAACTTTTGGGTCCTCGTCCTTTCCCGGAAAAATCAACGTACGAAGAATTCGTCGAGGGTACGGGATCGTTCGAAGAAGATACGACTTTACCGGAAGGACTTAAAGACTGGAATCAGGAAAAGTCGAAAAAAGTGGCGGCAGAAAAAGAAGCGGCATCGTAATTACTACGACGACGACGACGACAACGACGACTAAAAAAAAAAAAAAAGAAAAAAAAAAGAAAAAATGAAAGAGAAATAGAAAGAACGAAAGAGAGAGTGTGAGAGAAGGAAAACAAAAAGAAAGAAAAATGTAACGTTTAAGTAAACCGAAATAAATTTTTTTTTTTTTTTTTTTTCAATTACAAATCCATGCATCGCAGTAAAGTCACTAACAGACAAGAAGAAAATGATAAGAAATGATAATAATGATGATGATGATGTTGATGATGATGATAATGATGAATGAAGCATATTGAATTTAAACGTTTTCTTATAGCATTTTTTCTTTTTTTTTTTGTTTGGTTTCGTTTTGTTTTGTTCTTATTAAAAAAAAATGATTTTTGCAATTAGAAATTAAAAATATAACGGCTATCACTATCATTATCCCTATCCCTATCCCTACAAAAAAAAAAAAAATTAAAATTTTTTAATTTTTTTTGACCGAGATTTGTAAAATGAAAAAAAAAAAAAAAAAAAAACAAATAATTAAATAAATAAATAAATAGATTTTGAAAAATTAATTTTTTGCTTTTTTTTCCATTAACATTTAATAATTTATTTTTTTAAATTATTGGACGGGATACGTATATCGGGATCTGGGATTAAATCCCCGGGATTTAATCGTTTGCAATACATGAAAACTGAAAGAAAAAAAAAATTGAGAAAAGGAAAGAATAAAAATAAAAAGAAGAAGAAAATTAGTAAAATAATCAATAATAAAATTTTAAATGCGCCAAAAAAATTTATTTATTATCACTATTATTATTATTATTATTAGTATTATTATTATTCAAAAAAAAATTTTTTTTTTTTTTTTTAAATAGGATTGTCAATGTTTGGGATTATTTTTTTTTTTTTTCTTTTTTTTCTTTTTTAAATTCTTAACTCAACAGTAAAAATTTTCGCATCGAACCAATTGTTACAGTCGTTAATATTATTATTATTATTATTATTATTATTATCAACATCATCATCTGTGAGGATTTATCATTTAATAATAATAAAAAGAAAACAGAAAAAGAGAAGAGAAAAAGAGAGAGAGAGAGAGAGAAAAATTATTTCAACGAAAGGTAAGGAGTGATAATAAGGAATATTACGTCACGCGTAATTATTATTATCATTATCATTATTATTAATTATTAATTATTAATTATTTTACCGTTCAGTTAAGAAATTATTTTTTAAAAACAACAATAAAATTATTATTATTATTATTTATTAATAATTAATTTTGTTTTTTTTTTTTTTTTTTGCAAAAAGTTTAAATAAATAATGATCGATGCCATAACATTATATTTATTATCATTATTAATAATAATAATAATAATAATAAAATCAGGAGCGTAGCTATAATTATAATTAACATGCACATTTAATATATATATATATATATATATATATATATATATATATATAAAGAACAACATATTTATATTTAAATAGCACCATTAGGTTAAAAATTATTTATATATATATATATATATATATAAATTAATTAATATTATTAACAATTTTTATCGATTAAAAATATCATTATTTATTTATTTATTTATTATATCGTATTATTATTATTATTATTATTATTAATTATTAAGGTAAAAAAAATTATTATTATTATTATTTATTTATTAGTTAATTAAAACATAGGGGGGGGGGTTCCGTGCAGCCATTTTTTAAATTTATTAATTTTTTTTTTAATTATTTATTTAAACAATTTTCAACAACAATTTTATTTATTTATTTATTTATTAATAATAAACTTTTTTTTATTTATTAACCACTTTCTTAATTATTTTTATTAATATTAATAATAATAATTAATAAATAAAAAAATTCTTTAAAAAAAAAAAAGTGAAAATTTTCCGGCAACGATCATATTTATTTAAACAAAAAAATCAATCAATCAATTAATCATCGTATTATTATTATTATTATTATTATTATTATTATTATTATTATCGTTTTGAGCACTACATCGAAAATTATTATTATTATTATTATTATTATTTTTATAATTTTTATTAAGATATTGCTTAAGAAATTTGTATGTTTTTTTTCTCTAAACTAATTTATTATTATTTATAAATAATGACATTTTTCGGGGGTGGGGTGAAGGGAAGGGAAGGGGGCGGGAGGTAAGCGAAAGAGGGAGTGGGGATAAGGTATGTAAAAATGGCGGACGAGGAGGAAATTAAAAAAAAAAAAATTTTTTTTTTGTCGACCGGAAAATGAAATCCATATTGGAATGTCACTCTTCATTTTATTTATATATTTTCACACGTTTTTTTTGCATTTCCTGTTTCGAAAAAACCATTATTATTATTATTATCGTTAATATGTATTAATAAAAAAATTGAATTTAATAATAATAATAATAATAATAATAATAATAATAATAATATTAGTAATAATAATAATTCACAATGGGGTTATTTTTTTTTAATTATTGCAAGTTGATTTATTATTTTTATCATTATTATTATCGTATGCATTTAAATAAGAAAAATTTATACAGGAAGAAGGAAGAAGGAAGAGAAAGAGAGAGAGAGAGAGAGAGGAAGAATAAAATGATTTAATAATTAAAAAAATTTCCCTTTTTTTTTCCTGTTGTTTTTTAACCTGTTAAGGTTTTTTAAAAAAAAAATAAATCATAGATTAATTAAACGTAACCCAAATCCTTTGACAAGTTTGCCAACATAAAAAAAAAAGAACAAAAATTATTTTACGTGTCGTTAGTAAATTTAATGTATCGATAATAATAATAATAAATTATTATTATTTTATTATTTTATTCCGTGCAAACTTTTTGTCGATGAACAAAGAGTTTTCTTTTTCTTTTTTTTTTTTTTTAAAAACAAAATGGCCGAAAATAAAATCACGATCACGACGCGAAAAATTCTTATTAATAATAATAATAATAATAATAATAATAATAATAATAATAATAATAATGCTTTCTTCATTGAGCATGATACTATTTTTTTTTTTTTTCATTCACCTTATAAAAATTTAAGGCGTTTGGGAATTTTAATTTATTATAAATATACGCACGTATATATATAAACATTATGCCGAATTTTATATAATAATGATAATAATAATAATTAAACAACATTATTATTATTATTATTATTATTATTAATCATCTATAATAAAATATTAATAACAATTTAACATTTGATTACTTATCATGTAAACAATATGAAAAGCGTAAAAAAAAACATTAATTCGTTAATCTAATTATCCGTTAGACATAATAATAATAATAATAATAATAAAATTTCGTTTTGATAGAGTAATAAAAAATGTATTTTATTATTATTATTATTATTATTATTAATAATATCGTTATCATCATCGTTATCACTTTTTTTTTTTTTTAATAACTTTTTTGCGGTCGAGTAAATGTTTCGTAATTATTAATAATAATATTAATATTATTATTATTATTATTATTATTATTATTATCATCAGAGAAAGGAAGAAAGTGTGAAGGATAGAGAGAGAGAGAGAGAGAGACAAAGAGAGAGAGATGCAAGACAAAGTAAAAAAAAATAAAATTACACGAATTTTACGCGATGGATCAAAAAAAGAAAAAAAATGGCGGGATTTTCAAAAACGTTTTCAAGGTCATTATGAAATAACGTTCGAAATGATTTTATTAAATAATTAATTGATTGTTCGCTTGTTTGTTTGTTTGTTTGTTTGTTTGTCGTTTTCGTATAAAAAAAAATATTAGGGATATTTTGATTTGATGATTTTTTTTATTTTTATTTTTGGACGGCATAATTTGAAAGAAAGGATAAAATAAATAAGAAACATTTACTCTCGTTTGTTACGTGATATAAAAAAAAAATGGCGGAAGAAAAATAAATAAATAAATAAAAAAGAAAATCACGATTTCAAAATCGAAATTAATATTTATTTTATTTTACGAAAAAAAAGGGGATGAAAATATAAAATAAAAAAAAAGGGGGGGTTGTGATAAAATATCGTGTGACGTGGCACCAATTAATAAAGTAATCAAAACTTTTTGATTTAAACGTTTTATGACGTAAAAATTTCAACAAAATTGTTTGTTTACGATCTGATTTTTTTCCGTTAAGACGACGACGACGACGACGACAGTTTTGCCAACTTAAATGATTAAATAAATTTTTTTTTTTTTAAATAGAAATTATTATTGATTTTCTTTTTTTTTTTTAAAAAAAAATTTTGTTTTGAAACATTAAAATTATCAAAAGTTTTGAAACAAGTCGTTTTTATTTTTCTCTTCTTTTTTTTCCGTTTGTTTGTTTGTTTGTTAAATATAAATAAATTATTTTTTTATCGTTTTAATTTAACTAACTTACGATAATAAATCTTGTTTTTTTTTTTTTTAAATAAAAAATTCTTTTGCCACGACAAATTGAATTTTTTTTTCTTTTTAATCACGAAATCTATACTAATCGGTTCGTTACCGAGAAAACCTTTTTTTTAATGGAAACGTTTAAAAAGGTTATCAAATTATTTTTTGTTTCGAATCCTTTTTTTTTCTCTGGAAATTTCGACGACATTTTGAATGAATAAAAAAAAAGAAAAAAAAATATTTAAATGATGGGAAAAAAAATTTTTTTTTTTTTTTCCGGTTAAACAAACTTTTTAAATGACAATAAAGAAAAGATTTTATACATTAAAAATTGTTTGTTTTGTAATTCGAATCGTAAAACGACTAAAAAAAAAAAAATTTTCTTTTTCGAAATCGTGATTTTTTAAAATAATAATAATAATAATATTAATAATGATGATAAGCAGAAGAAGAATTAAAAGGAGAAAAAAAGAGAGAGAGAAAAAGATGGGTTAAAATTGTTTACATGATTTGTATGTAATATCGTTTGTTACCTTTTTGTTTGTTTGTTTTCGTTTGTTCTGTTAGTTTATATATATTATAAATATCTTACGATTGGGCTGCACGAAAGACTTTCTCCATTTTTTCTTTAACGAACGGAAGAAGATTGATGACACGGCGAACGCTAATTGTCACCGGCAAGTGTCAAAGCCTGTACGATTCTAGGATCGGCTTTACTACCTTCTCGAAATTCTTCTAACGTTAATCGATCATCGTGATTTTTATCCATTTGATCGAATATTTTATCGACTCTTTTTTGCGGCGTGTTTTCATCTTCTGCTTGCGGCACTTGACCCTTAAATAAAAACAAATAATAATAACGAAACCCTCGTTTCCGGTTTTTTTTTTTTTTTAGCAAAGTCATCATCATTCTCGCTTACCACCATTTGATATATGGCATCTACAATGTTGTACATTTCATCTCTAGTTATGAATCCGTCGTTATCGACATCGTACAACCTGAAAGCCCCTGAAAATATTTTTTAAAATTAATTACAAAATGTCGACAGAATATTAAAAAAAAAAAAAAAAAAAAAAATACTTACAATGTAATTTTTCGTCAAGATTTCCTCTCGACGTCACTGAAAGAGCTCGAATGAATTCGTCGAATTCGATTGAACCGTCCTGTTTTGTGACAAACAAACAAATTTTTTTTTTAAACAAACAAACGTACGACAAACGTGACGTATTATTATTATTATTATTATTATTTACGTTTGCTTTCTACAATCAAATTAATAAAAAAAAACAAAAACATTTTTTCTATCGTTTTAAATAATTTTCTCGTGAGAGCGATTGTTTTACCTAAACGCCATTTTCTTCTTCTTAAAATAATGAAATCGGTGAGGAAGTAGGGAAGAAGAAACGGGAACGGGAACGGGAATGGAAATTACGATTCCAGTAAAATTTAAATTTTTCTGTCGTACAAATAAATAAAAAAAAAAAGGTAATTTTGATTCTGGTTGATTTATCGATTTCGTCACGCTACGCAAACAATTTCCAGTCGATTTTTCTTTTTTCACATTATCATTATTATCATTATTATTATTATTATTATTATTATTATTATTTAAATATGTTTTTGACAAATTAAAAAAAAAAAAAAAAACGTACGGGAATAATATCGTTGTCGATTAAACGAGACCCGATTTAAATTATTATTATTTTTTTTTCGTAAAATGGCGACAGGTAAATTCGTACGCGTCGGAATTTATTTTAAAAAAATGAGCAAAACGGGGAGAGGGGGGGCTTTTTTTTTATTCGATGGGGAGACGAGAAGGGGAAGGAAGGAGGGGTGAATGTGACGTGACCGAAAATTTTAAATCCTCATAATTTTCTTTAATATTTATATTCTGGGTAAATAAATTTTTTTCTTTTTCTTTTTTAAATAGGTGTAAATAATCCCGGGGTCTGTTTTTTTTTTTTCCGACGTGGCGTTAGAATTTTTATTCTTTTCCTTTGTTTAATTAATGTCGTTTAATAAACGACGGTCGAAAAAGAAAGAAAGAAAGAAAAACAAAAAAAAAAGAGAGAGAGAGAGAAAGAGAAAAAAAACGTCGAGATTAATTTAATTAAATTTGTTCTTGTTGTTGTTGTTGTTGGAAATTTAAGTTTTTTTTTTTTTTTTTGTTTCAAAAGTTACAACGAGTAATTCGGCTATTATTATTATTATTATTATTATTATTATTATTATTATTATTATTATTATTATTATTATTACAAATGTTATAAAATAAATAAAATTTTTTTGGGGGGAGGGGGTGGAGGGTGGGATACGGTTTATAGGATATTAAATATTTTTGAAGTTAATTTACCAAATCAAAAACTAATTTACCACAATTATTGTTGAAAATAGATCGACCGAAACCAACAAAACCGTAAAAAATTGTTTTCTTTCTCTTCTTTTCCTTCTTCTTCTTCTTCTTCCACGATATTTTCTCGAAACAAATCCTCATAGTAATAATAATAATAATAATAATAATAATAATAATGAGGCCGTAGAAGAAGAAGAAGAAGAGAAAAAAAAATTAATTGTACCGAATGTAAAAAAAAAAATAAAATAAAAAATAAAATAAAAATAAAATCACGTTTTAAAATTTGTATTATTACGAAAAAATACAAATAATAATAATAATAATAATGATAATAATAATAATAATAATAATAATAATAATAATAATAATAATAATAATAATAATAATAATAATAATAATAATAATAATAAAAATAAAATATCTTGAGAATTTTGTGTTTCTTTTTTTTTTTTAGTACAATTTAGAAAAAAAAATATATTCCCGGAAGATATGTTTTCAAAATCGAATGAAAAAAAAACGGATTTTATTATTATTATTATTATTCTCTTTTTCGTTCACGTTTAGCATATAAAAAAAATTTTTTTTTTTTTTTAAATTACTTCCACGACGTCATTTAAACTTTTTTTAATTCTTGGCGTAAACATTTTATATTACTTTTATTACTTGTTTAATTTGATTTAATAACCGATATAAAAAAAAAAAAGTAAAATTTATTTTACCTGAATTATTATTATTATTATTCGATAGACATTTTTTTTTTTTTTTAAACTTATCGATTAAAAACTTTATACACTTTTAATTTTAATAAAAACATAATAAACACTTTTTTAAAACGATCGATAATAAAAAAAAAAAAAATTATTTATGTAACCTTCACCCATTTTAATTTAAAAATAAAATAATAATAATCCTCGAACGAGTGTAACGAGAAAAAGAGAAAACGGAAATGGACGCCATTTTGTCGTATGCTAGATCACGTGATCAAACGTCATCGAATGATTACGTAGAACCGCACACGTAAACAATAATTATTTTGTAAACAAAAAAAATCGAATAAATGATTGACCGATTTTGGGAAATGATGAGGATTTTCCCGCGGAATTTCCGGGAAAACGATTTTCCGAGTCTAGACTTTGTGATAAAATTTTAATTCGAACCGTAATAATCCTATTAAAAAAAAAAAAAAACCTGCGGGAGTGAGTGGAAAAAAAAAGCGTCGTGAAAAATTAACATTAATTTTTTTTTTTTTGAAAAACGAAGTGAAAAATAAAAATAAAAAGGTCAAAGGTTAAAACGGTTTTTTTTTCTTTACGAAAAACAACGTAATTATTATTATTATTATTTTTTTTTTAACATTTTGAAAATTTAAAATTGGGATTAAAATGAAAAACAGAACATAACGGTAAAATGATAAACAAAAAATAAGGATCCCGCATAAAAACATCTGCATTACATCCAAAGGGAGGGAAGGAGGAGGGGGTAAAGGAAAAGTTACGACTCTTTGATAATGAATGACTAACTGTTACAAAAAAAATAGGGGAAGGGAGAGGAGAGAAATGGAAAAACTTACAGTAAATTTATCGGATAAACAAAAAAAAAAAAAAAGACGTAAAGCAGAAGATTAAATAATTTTTTTTTAAATGAAAAAGTCAACTCGATGACAAAAAAAATTTTTGTTTTTTTTTTTATTACGTAAAAAACTTTTTTAAACTTAAGCCTTTGCCCCCCACACTTTTCTCTTCCTGTTCCCTCCCACCACCCCCCGGGATAAAAAAAAAAAAAAGAAATTTTTTTTCCTCACCGAATGAGAGTTAATTATTTACTTAATGTCAAATATTATATAAAACTTTTCCTCCCCCCCCTCCTTCATCGTATATGTGGACGCCATTTTGTTTTTGAAATTAATTAAATAATAATAATAATAAAAATTGTAAAAAAAAAAAGGAAAAGCGGTTAAAGTTTATTAAATTTTTAGGTTGAACTTCTATTCCCTCTCTCTCTTTCCTCTCCCCTCTCCCCCCCCCCGAAAAAAAAACCGTTGTAGTAAAATCGAATAAAAAAAAAAAAACAAAATGGCGTCATATTAAAATAAAATTTAACAAATACCATACGAATTCACTACAAAAAAAATTTATGTTTGTAGTAGTTTTCCTTGTTTTCCTTTTTTTATGCGGGGGAAAATAAATAATTCCCATTGGTATAAATAAAATTTTTTTTTGTTTCTCCCCCCCTCCCTCCACAACATTAATAATCGCCAATGTTTCAAAACTTTATTTCATATCTTTTAAAAACTTTTTTTTTTTTTTTCTGTTGGGGAGTGAAAAAGAGAAAAACGGAAATGAGATTGTAGAACAAAAAAAAAAAAAAAAAAAATTTTTTTTTTTTCTCTAATAATAACATTGTCGTTTGTTAATCACGATTCATTGAACCCGTGTGTATTTCTTTCTTATGCCCCTTCCCCACCCGCCCACGACACAATCTACGCTATAAATCAAATTTAACCGGAAAATTTTTTCTGCTTCGGAAAATTTTTTTTCCTATAACTCTTAAATAGTTTTTCCTTTTTTTTTCCTGCTGAAAATTTTAATTATTTATTTAAATATATTATTATTATTATTGTTGTTATTGTTATTATTATTATTATTATTATTATTATTATTATTATTATTATTATTATTATTATTATTATTATTATTATTATTGTTATTATTATTATTATTATTATTATTATTATTATTATTGTTATTATTATTATTATTATTATTATTATTATTATTATTATAATAATTATTGTTATTATTATTATTATTATTATTATTATTATTATTATTATTTGTTTTTTTTTTAAATGGAAAAATAATTACGAATAAAAAATAAACATTTTTTTCATTGTAGTGAAAAAATAAAAAATTTTCAAGACTCCCAACCTTCTAAAAAAAAAAAAAAAAGAAAAATGAACAATCGATAACTCGAATCGACGTTATTCGATAATAAAACGATTTTCTTTTTTTTTTTTTTTCTTTTTTTATCCTCATTAAATCTTTCGTTTCCCGCTGTCGTATTACTACGTCATTGATCCCGACAGAATTTTTGTATGGCTTTAAAAAATTTCAAAAAAAAAAAATCTTTCGCAATAATAATAATAATAATAATAACGTTTCGAATTTTTTTTTGTCGTGGGAGTTGGGGAGAAGGAGGAAGAGGAAAAGGATTTAAATTCCGTTTTTAAACAACTCGATAATTTAAACGATAAAAACAAAAACTTTTACAACTCGTTTAAAAAAATAAGAAGAAAAGTAGTAACAACAGAAAAGAAAAAAAAAATGGCGTCGATTAATTTTTTAAAAAAGCGCGGGAAATTTATTTAAAAAAATATGATGTTACGTCATTAATACTCACGTTATTTTCATCGAACACTTTAAATACTAACGATGCAAATTTACTAGGATCGCCTTGTGGGAAGAACTGCTTGTAAATTTTGATGAATCCCTAAAACAAAAAAAAACAAAAATTATTTAAACAATTTAAACTATTTATTTATATTATTATTATTATAATTATTTAAATTATTTAAAATTTTTAAACTTTTTTGCGGGGGGAGGGAGAGAGGGTAGAAGGGATGATAAATAAATTCCGTACGTGCGAAATAAATTTTTTTTTAAATAAATAAATAAATTAAATACTTTGAAACGTAACAACAACAACAAAACCGTTACGTTTCATTTAACCTTTTCCATAAAAATTAAAAAAAAATAAACTTTAGGCTCCCTCCTTCCCCCCCACAAAAAAATGATAAATTTAACGTACTTGACCCCCCCCTTTTTTTTTTTTTTTTGAAAAATTTGGAAATTTGTATCATTTTACAAAAATTAATAAAAAAGAAAAAACGAAAAAAAAAGATAATTAATTAAATTTTTTTTTTTTTTGAAAAACGAATTAAATTCTTTGTCATTGAATTTTTTTTTGGGGGGAGGGAGAAGGTAGGGAGGAGTAGGAAGAGGAGGAAGAAGAGGAGGAAAAAAATCCCGTGGGAGAATTACGTGGGATAAAATTTAAAATGATGTGATTTTTTTTTTTTTTTTATTAAGGAATGACGAATCAAAAATTGTTAAAATTTTTTTTTTTTTTAAAGTGTAAACTTTAGGTAAATTTTTTTTTTGGAATTCCAGAATTTTCCAGGAATTTTTTTTTTAAATACAAACATCAAGATTAGTAAATTTAATAAAATATAAATTTACGATACATTTTTGCTTTTTTTTTTTTTTTTTTTTTAAAAGGTTGCGAGACTTTTTTTTTTAATAAAGTAAAAATTTTCCTTTGGGTTACTTTATTTATTTAACTTAAAAACGCCATCATGGAAATTTTATTTATTCACGTGTTATCACCACGTGATATCACAATATTAAATAAATTAATAAAAAAAAAATTTGCATTTTTTTCTTTTTTTTTTTTAATTCATCGTCGATGGAAAAATTATTAAATTGACCGTTTTACTAATAATAATAATATCACGACCTCGTAAATGTGAGGGAGTGTGCGTGGGGGTGGGGGGATGCGGGTGTGCGCGTATTCGAAAAAATCCGTCCAAAAAAAATTTAAATTAAAAAAAAAAAAATTAATCCAAATTTTTCACGTGCGATTTCAAATTTGATTTAAAAATTAAAAAAAATGGAACCCAATTTCGATTTACGCCGGTTATTATTTTTTATTTTCGAATAGAGATTTCCAGTTGAATTTATAAACTAAATTACTCCCCACCCGCCCTACTCCCCATCCTCCCCACCCTCCCGCTCTTTTTTCCATTTCATAAAATTTTCCGAAAAAAAATCTTTTTTTTTTTTTTTTTTTTTTTTTGGATGTTTACGGTTTTATGTTTGCCAAAAGCAACAAGAGAGACAGAAACGTAAAACGCACGCAGTGTAAATAAAAAAAGACGGGATCATCTTTTATAAAGTTTTCTTTTTCCCCCCTCTCCTCTCCCTACTGATAAATGATAAGAGAACTTAGCGTGCCGAGTGCGAAATAAAAAAATTTTTTCGTGCAAATAAAAAATACAAACGAAAAGAGAGAGAAAATTACAAAAATTATGCGATTGTTTCGAATTTCATTTTGAAATTTTTTTTTTTTTTTAACCTTTGACCCCGTGAGCGAGAACTATGATAAAATTTAAATTTTTTTTTTTACCCCCGAATAATCACGTGATAAAAAGATGTTTCACGCGATTATATAATTGATCAATTTTAAAATGAATTTTTTTTTTTTTTTACGTCCGAAAAAATATTTAAAAAAAAAAAAAAGTCGTTCGAACAATAATAATAATAATAATAATAATAAACGTAAAATTTATTCGCGAACGGACGATAAAAAAAAAAAAAAAAGTGTCAGGAGCTCCCCACAATTGACCCCATTCATTAAAAGTCACGCAAATGAAAACGAAAAAATCTTTTAGAAAACAAAAGAAATTAAAAATTTCATTTAAACAAAAAGGTGATGAGGGGGGAAGGAAGGGGAAGGGAGAGAAGAGGGAAGAAAGGGAACCGTGGAAGGTTTGGAAAATTTTTTTTTCGAAAGGTGAAATTGAGAGAGAGAGAGAGAGAGAGTAATAATTTAATTTTTACCTTAATAAATAAATAAATAAAATAGGATTATGTTTTCTTCGAGTTTCCCCCCCCCTTTTCCTCCCCCTTTCGTAAAATTAACATTTTTAATAATAATAATCCGGAAGAATTTTTATTAATTAATTACGTAATAATTAATTAATTAATTAATTAATTAATAATCTTACCTGCTCTGTTAGTAGGCCATTGGGACAGTCTTTAAGAAATCCTTTGTGCCTGAAAATATATATAATAAAATAAATTGTTAATGTGTGTAAAAAAAAAAAAAACGCGCGTAACGAATACGTGCGTGGGTAGGGGAGAAAAGGAGAGAGGAGGGAGGGGTAACAAAACCCCCTCCCACGTTTTTTTTAATTTATAAATTATTACTCATAATAATAATAATGCTTAAAATGAGCGAAACGTTTTCTACTAAATGTGACAAAGTTAATAATAATAAAACTAAAAAAAAT